GCTGTATACACAAGAAATACCAGCACAATTAGGGTCAGTAGACACGCTATGACAATGGCTTCGATCAGCGGATCATTACTGCAACATCGACTGCTCAAAGTGCGTACAGGAGCACCCGACTGCAGTTGACCGACTTACCTATGGCAAGCGAGATCGCCACATGAAAGCGACTCAACCGACTTAGAAAGTCATAGTCTCTACTCGGCGGGTCGCCTCAATCAGTCAAGTTGAGACAAATTGGTGCAACCAATTACCGTCATATTAAAAACTCAAATTGTAATACATATATGGTATAAATTCTGTATAATTGATTATAACATTAATCATATTAAGAACAGTTTCCAAAACTTTTTCTTCCTTATAATTCTATAAAATACCCTCTTATAAATATGAGTCAAAAATAGTAATAAAATGGAATGAACTAGCTCTCCCTTTGTATTCTCTCTACAACAAATTCTTGCTACACTCCTCTTTTTCGCTCGACTCAAACTCTTGTGGCGTGTTCATAAAAGACAATTTGAGATCTAACACCTAAAAGGTGGTGCGGTAAGCGTGGACACACCACAACTAAGAAGTGGAGTTAACTATGACTTAGAAGATTCCCAAAGGGAGATAACACACATGAAAACCAACAAAGACACTACGCAACCAAACGACATTCGTAGGTCTAGCGCTTAAAAGCCCAAATGACACTCATAATCTCCAAGCGGCAATTTCCCAATGGAACGATCAACCGCCAAATTTGGAGGCGAAACCTTAAGGCATCTATCCTCAAAGGTCCCCTTCGACGAACTGGCTACTATGAACAACCAGGTTAGCAATCAGCAGGTAGATGGACAATGTAAGTCCCAACACACCAACACACCGACACACCGTGTCTGCGCCAACGACCATGCGGCGGGAAGAACGAATGTGAGTGCTTGTCCGACCACTCGCATGATGGGCTTTTACTCGCTAAATCAAAGAAGCAATGCCACCACCTAAGCTAAGGATCCCTCTCCTGGATTCCTACAAAGGGAGGCATGACCTGATCAACCACATAGCATTGTTAGAGTCGTCAATCTATCTGCTCTAAATAGACGGGCCCATAATATACCACCTCTTCTTAACCACCCTGAAGGAATAAACCCTTCGATTATTTAACGGTCTGTCGACCGAGACCATTCCAAATTACTATCAATTTAAATGACTCTTCATTTCACACTTCTCAAACGTACAGAAATTCAGGAAAGACTCTGATCCATTGACTCTGATACATTGCTCAACATCAAACAGGAAGAGGGCTAGAACCTACGAACCTACATTGCTTAAGCTAGAAATAAGAAGCCTGAAATTGTCGAAACAGCTTTGAAACGAGGAGTCCAAGGCATACGATTTTGATTCAGGTATGACTTAAATCTGTTTAAATCTAATACTTTTGCAGAAGAATTGGAGATGGCGAACGAGCACATACTCGTTGAGGAAGACTTCAAAGTGCCCCAAGGATAAGCCAGAATCGTCCGACCACCCATTAAAGAAGATGAAAGAACGAGGTGAGCCGCGAAGGTCGAAGGGCAATCAATCGTCCACCGATCACCAAAACAACAAATCTTGGTCCCACAATCATTGAAAAAATAACTGAAAGCAACGCTTAGATAAATAGTCGGCTCAATATTATGACCGACCACATGTTTACAGAAAATGCAAGGTTTGACACCTCTCAACTTGTCGATGACCAAATTAGTCCAGGTCATCCAAAATAAGGACTACTTCAACTCGGCCACGCTATTGAATGTGGCTTTGACCTTACTGGATACACAGAATGAATGTGGCTTTGCCCTTACTGGATACACAGAAGTACTGCCAGTACCACCATGTCCACGGTCATGACATACATGAGTGTCGATAGCTTAAAAACTTGATTGAAAAACTCATCCGCGCCGGGAAGCTCAAAGTGTTTGTTATAGTCAGCACACACATACAGTGACAGGAAAAGGCTCCCGTCTGTCAGGGCAAATAAGGTCCATGTAACAGGGATAATACCTGCCACCTTCGGGGGGGACCCCGACCATCCTGTTTAAAGAGATAGCGTTTGGGAGAGGTTTGCGACATCGTTTCGTACAGACTTAAGCATTTATCAATTGTTTTTACACATGCACATATCCCATCGAAGGGAAACCACTATAATGGGGCAATCATCATCACATCGTTGATCAACTACTACCAGGAGGTAGCATTCTCATTGATACAAGAAGTTTCATGAATATCCTATCCAAATAGTTTTAAATAATATCAACCTCAAGGCTGACCGGTTGACATTACCTGTCAGTTCTTTTTTTCAAATTTTTCAGGGAAAGAAAGGAGGCGCTCAGCCTTGTCACCCTTGTCATCTCTTGTGGAGAAGCAGAGAAGCAGTAACATAGCTCGCATGATTTCCCATTGGTAGAGTCTTCGCCGACCTACAATGCTACCTTCATTTGACCACTTTTGAACAGCTACCGAGCCGTGACTTCTACCTACCATGTGGTAGTAAAGTTCTCAGGCGGAAATACAGTAATTACATTCTGAAAGAACTTGGAGAAGTTTAGAAGCTGCTCTTTGTGACTGGTCTCGAGGGTCGAACATGAATTGCTTGACATCCAGATCTAGAGGGAAGGGGGTCTCGATACCAGTAAGGTCGTCCTCTTGATACCCATGTCAAACAAAGAACCCGTTAGGTTTTTCCGAATCAGTGAACACTATGACGCATGATTCAGGAGCTAGCTGATATAGACACTTCAAGTGCACTGGGAATTTTTCATGTGGACCGCAATAGAAATGTTTGACTTTTCAATCGATGTAACATGCCCCCGGCTGAACCTTAGCCCCAACTCTCGACAGGTCCAACAGTAGATTAGGTCGACCGCCAGAACTTTGGTTGAACTGATAGTTCAGTACCCGATGCGGCTCTCGAACGTTGTCATGATCAAGAAAGCCATTGACAAATGGTGGATGTGCATCGATTTCACCAACCTCAAAGAATGGAAAATAAAAACGTGTAAAGTGAAAAGAAGTAGCACCTTCTCTTATTTATAAGACATGAACATAAAACGAAGCATTATATAATGATAGATGACACACCAAACCTCATTTCAAAATTTATTTAAAATGTATTTTTACTTCAAATAACATTATAACAAACCTTGAACGAAGTTTTTAATAAAAGTGTGTTCCAAGACCTCATAGAGTCCATGCCACCCTCAACTTCTGGAGAACCAACTCAATGCTTAACTTAATCTGATCAACCTTCTTAGCTTTCTGATTGAACCTCACTAGATCTAATATCTCACGGAGTGCCTCGAGCTCTCGCAGTATCTTGGTTAGGCCACCTCGAAGGGCGACAAGCTCAGTCCACAAAGTTGCTACTTAGCATCCAGGCGAATCGATAGCTCCCGCACAAGATCCACAACCGAACCCCCGATAACTTCCTTAAGAGGGCCAACCAATGCCCTGACAGTTTGGTCTCGCCTGCCCGCTGCTTCTTGATGTCGGG